AATTTCTTATCTTTAAACTTGGCATTTGAAGGCCACCCTCGATCTGCTCTCAGTTGGGAATATATATATATATATATATATATATATATATATATATATTTTGAGTTGTTTGGTGTTTTTTTTTTGATAAGAAAGTGCACCTTCATTGAGATAAATGAAAAACAACTACAAAAAGAGGGCACATAAAAGAACAGCCCAGCAACAGGAAACACCTAAAGAAATGGGCTCCAATCCAAAAGAATGATACCTAACTGATAATTACAAAAAACTTTAGTGACCAATCCCCGTAGAGAAGTGTTAAATCTAATGAGGTCCCACACATAATCCACAGATCTCTCCGCTCCCCTAAAAATTCTATTATTTCTCTCCTACCAAATACCCAAAGAGTAGCCAGAAAACACGCTTGCCAAAGAAAACGCCCTTTGTCATGAAACGGGGGGAATAACAACACTTCCTCCATCATCGCCCTACAATCTCTGGAACAGGCCTAAACAATCCCAAAACATCTAAAGAAACAAAGCCATAACTCCTGCGCGAACTGAAAAGACCACAACAAATGCTCAAGATCCTCCGAAGCATTCTTATACAGAGCACACCACTGCGGGCCCAAACAAAGGGAGGACATCCTCTGGATCCGATCCAATGTATTAACTCTTCCAAGTAAGACTTGCCACCTAAAGAACTTAATCTTCTTAGAAATTTTAATCTTCCAAAGCGAGGTGAACCAAGGGGTCAACAGGGATGGAGAAGAAGAAGAGGACGAGGAGGAGTTCAGGACATGTAAAAAAGAACTACAAGAAAAACCTTTTGAAGGATTGGGGTCAACACCCTCACATCTTCCCTCCCAACAAATAAGGAAACTCTAGACAGCAGTTCCAGTAAATCGGAAACCTCTGATGATTCCCGATCAGTCAAGGAACGGGTGAGCCTCAAAGAGATGGACAAACCCTCTTCGCCAGAACTTAAACCTCGGCCACTGAAAAGAGTTTCTTATCAGATAGAAAGTAGATCTGAGGGAAAGCAAGACACAAGGGTTTGTCGCCTATCCAAGTATCCTCCCAAAAGTACGTATTAAGACCTTCCCCCACAGAGACACGTAAAGAATGAGAGAAAACAGGGAAACCCAAAGCTTTGAGTTGTTTGGTGTTAGTTTGGCCTTAAATAGTGAGTGCCCCTCTATGGTGGGGGAGGCGGGAGGGGGCCCCTGTGCATCTGCCCTTTTGTGATAAGGGTTAGTTTTTGTGGTTGCTGGTGTTTTGTGGTTTTGTACGGCCTTTGGATTAAAAGAAATAATTGAATTTTTAGAGACTTTAGGGAGAGGTATGGTCTCTTGCTAGATTTTATGCTTCTCTTTAGACGTTGATCTCATATGAGTGTTGTTTTTTTTTATGAGAAACACTTCATTGGAAGGAACAAAAGAACAAGAACAGCCTAAGGACAGTGGCCAAGACAGCCCCTTCCAAAAAGGAAGCTAATCACAAAAAAGCTCTCCAATTTTTCTCTCATATGAAAAAAGCTCTCATATGAGTGTTGTTATTGTTAGGTTTTATTATCTTGGATGGGAGTTATTTTCTTATATTTCAGTTAGTGTTGATTGGCTTCTTTTTTTCTTTCTTTCTTCTTCCTTTTTTTTTTCTTTTGTACTCCCTTTGTGTTCTTTCATGTTTTTCGATGCTTGGTTTTCTATAAAAAGAGTGGTTGGATCACAAGACTCTCCTATAGCTGGGATCTTGAACTAAATTTTATTAGAACACAAATAAAAATTTCCATTATCTTCGATGTGGAAAAATCTTCACCAACTTGTCTAATTTTATTTACAATGCTTATCACTCTAGTTGAGTGCGAGGGTTTTTTTTTTTTTTTTTTTTTTTAAATGAAAAATATATATTTCAATGAAATATACAAAAGGGGAAGAACCCAAGAAGGGAGGGGTACATAAAGGCCCTCTATCAAGTTTGAATCATTAATTTTAGAATCTAGAACAGCAGAACTTTTATTTAGCCTTTGGCTTCGGTCAAATTTCTTCTTCTAATTTGTACTAAGCTTCCTTTTCTGTTTTATAATCAATGATATCTTTGCCAAAAAAAGACCAGACAAAGTGGCATGTAAATATACAAAGCCTTGGGCTTCTTTTTATCTTCTTCTCCCATGCTGTCTTATGTGATAGATTTAATGTTGGTTTTGCTTGCTCCTAATGGTATGTAATGCCAAGTGGTACGAGATAGGATTGTATTTTGACCACCAAAAATTGATAATTTTCAACAATAAATTATGGAAGATTGGAAATACCAAAATAAGACGACCCTAAAAAAAACACAACCCTTCAAATATAACAACACTTTGATTCCACTGTACAAGGAAGAGAATGATAAAGATATTGTAAAAATCTCAACTTCTTTGATGAGGTTTTTTTGAAAGGTAGAATTCCATGTTTGTTGGAGGAGAAAAAAAATAAAAATACGAGAGAACAAGATCTAAAAAGAGAAAGACAAGTTCCTATTGATAATGGAAAAATCACGTTGAAGCTCATACTTGTATAAGGACCACAATGAATCCTATTTAAGAATTAAGATCTATCATCTTACAATTCAAAACCTATCGAAGCAACTCTAGCTGATGATGTTTAAAATGGAGAATCTAAAAGGTACAAACATAAATAAAATAAAAGAAGAAACTGAATTAAATCAACTTTAATTAAATAAAAAACTTATAAACCTAAATTGATGTTTAATCTTTTCACTTATGTGAGCTTCGCACAAGAGATGGCCCTGCCAATCCCAGGGTCGTTAACTTTTAGTGGTTTGATCATTTCATCAAAAGTACTTAACTTGAATGCATGGCATGCATGCTAATTTTGTAACTTTCGCTATCTTATTTCTGTGAGTGAACCATGTTTTTGTTATTCTTGCAGTGGAGGAGATTGCAGCCTCAAATTCAAGAATCTTATGAATGAAATTTCTAAATCTTTGACACTCTCAGAGAAATACTATTCTATCAGAAATGAGTGAAAGAAGATGGAATCACGAGGCATCATTGTGTAATATTGAAGTCTCTCAAGTAACAAGGAAGATTATGTTGTCATTTTGGTCTCTGCAGCATAAGCCTTCTTCGGTAAGATGAGACAAGGTATCATCGATTTAAAAATGATAGTGGAAGAGCTTGTAGTCACATGGACACATTCGGTAGGTTTGGAGGTCTGGAAAGTAACCATCGAACATAGAAAGGGAGGGAAACGTGCATGATATTGTTTTATGCAATATTACTTTTTTTTTCTTCTCTCTCTGTTGTATCCTGTCATTCGTTCAGAGTCTGGTTATCTCATGTGGCCATATAATCATATGTCAACAGACCTTCCAATAAGAAGAAAAGGAAACTTTACTTCCTTCAAGGGTGGGGGGAAAAATGAAAGAAAACATCTCTTCTTGATTGGTTCGGTCGGATTGGATTGGATACATAATTTGGTTTTGTGATATAGGTAGAAAAAAAGTTGATGACTGTTGTAGTTAGATGACAGACATGATGATGATGGATGCTGTTGATGCGATGTGATTGATAATTTTGTTATTTAACTCTGGTGTGATTACAAAATTATAATAGGAAAAAGAAGTGAATTTTCAGGTGACTCATGTTCTCTTACCCCCTCAGGCCTCATGATCTTTGGTCTGGGTTCAAGTACAGAATCGATTTACAAGAAAACTGTACACAGGTGATCATGCCATTTGCAATAACAACAATAAATGGGTTCTGCAGTATCTTATTTGAACTTTGGTAAAGAGATTATCTATTTCATGTTCTTGTCCAAGTCAAAAATAGTTAATTGGTTCCTCGAGGAAAGCCAGGTTATTATCATGTACCAACTTCATTGAAGAAAATTCTCATATTAATATATCACTCTTTGACAGGTCAGCGATGGGGTTTGCAAATTACAGGTGACCAAACACCAATATTCTCTGATGGTTGTGGAAATGGACTGTAATTTGACTCACATCTCTCATATTTGGAGTAGAATTAAGAACTCTATCGTCCTTTTTACCATAGAAAAGGTTAAAAAACCCCATAGTGCTTGAATTAGAGCCAATTTCTTTCCATCCACATAAAAGGCATGAATTTCCAATGGCTATAACTTATAGTGGAGGTAGATATTATCAAAACCAGGAGTATGTAGATGGATCAGGGTGTTGTTTTTTAGACTGTCTAGGCTTTTATTTGCTTTGGTTTGGGGATGGGAGGGGCCATGCCATGCCAATCTTTTCTGCAAGCAATATGATGTCTGTTTTGGCAAAAGGTGTTTGAGGAAAGTGCCTAGCCCCAGCGCGGGGAGCCAAACTCCGACATCAAAACATGTTTGAGACATGTCTCCTTGCATAAAGTTATATGATTGACAACTAAAAAGCTTAGTACATATTTCTTTGCAGTGATTCTACTGCATAACTCTCTCTCTATGGAAATCCCTTTTTTTTTTCTTTCCCTTTTTGACTTCAGTGTTATAGCGATTTCATAATGTCCCTTGTGCATGCATCACATCACATTGCTTAGATCTCTTTGGGCCCCCCCTTTCTTTTTTCTCTCTAGCAAGAAAGCACCAATCCACCACTTAGAAGATATTCCTTTTCTGTCAATTCATATTATTATTATTTTTTAATGAAGTCTATGCATTCTCCCCCAAAAATTAAGGAATGAAGTTGATGTGCATTTGTAGGAATGAGATGGAGAATGCATTGAATCTTGTCAATGGACCTTTGCCTAATATATATCTTTTTGTAAATATCCTTGCCAACTTCCGTAAAAAGTTTGCACCTTCCTTTTAACCTTTTTCCAATTCAATACTTCATTTTCAGTCTTTTGACAAGGGAAAGAAAAATATGGATTATTCTTGTAGTGGAATATGAAATGGTGCTACCCTTTGTAAAGAAAGTTTCTATAGCTTTTGGATAAAGGCTATTTGTTTTATCTAGTAAATCAATTATTTGATATATAAAAGTGAAATTTAAACCCTTTGGGAAGTAAGAGGGTTTTATAGTCCAACCTCTCCTAGAAAGAATGATCCTCTTTTCAATGGATGGAATGCAACTTTTGACATTCATTTGAGGATAATATATAGGATTTCTACTTATAATATTATTTTGTTTCTTCTCTACACAACACTAAGTACATATATCAGCAAACCCTAAACCCTAAATTCTAAACACATATATCAGGTAGATTACTTATATTCCTTCTATTGACTCCCCTAGGTTATATTGATTTTTTCATCTAAAAAAGGTGAAAAAATGGTGAAAGATCATTTAATCAAGGTACATATTCGTCGATATTGGTCTTTGAAGAATTGAAATTATAACTGTGATAGTCTTCTCCATGGTGGGGATTTTCGTCATGGTGTTGCTTCTGTGAGAGGGATGGATGTTCATCGAACCATGTTGACCAGAAGAGATAGTTAAGAAAATTTAGGAAGCTGAGTATGGCCAACAGCCAGTAGAAGAGATCAAGTCTGTCTTTGTTTAGGTTATTGTCATGGAGCCAACCTCCATTGGAGGATGTTGCTGTGATCTTATTCACCATTGACACTAACAGTGAGCTCAGGTAGAATCCAAAAGAGTATGAACAGTATGTAATGGCTGTTAAAAATGCTTGCATTCCTTTTGATGATTGCTTGTAGAAGAACTCGATGAGCCCAACTGCTGTGAACATCTCCGATAACCCGAAAATGAGGAATTGCGGGGTGATCCAGAAGATCGATACCGTTTGGTTCAAATTCAGAGCTGAATCTCTCCTCTTTTTCTCCATTATGGCTGCTGAAACCATCGAAAATGTCGATAGGAAGAGGCCAAAGCCGATGCGTTTTAGGGGAGAGATTCCGGAGGTGTGGCCAGTGAATTTTCTTGCAAATGGGACGAAGAAAGTGTCGTATAAAGGGACGATGAAGATGAGCATAATGTAAGGAATGGCTTGAAGTGAAGCTGGAGGAATGTGGAAGGATTTGGTTAGTTCAGTGTTCATCAAACTCCCTTGCTGGACTGAAAATGTTTGGAGCTGAGCCAATATAGTGTTGAATATAATTGTGCAAGCAAATATTGGGACAACTGAAATTAAAATCTTCACTTGCTCAACTTGAGTGGGAGTGCACAATCTCCATGGGCTCTCCTTTGTTTCCCCATCTTGGCTTTTGATACAAGCCTTGTCCAGGAACCTGAAATTCAATCCAAATTTTAGTACCAACTTCAACATCCTATCATATTAAGGAAACTTCATTTCATTAAGATCACTGATGCCGGTTGATAACTATTTTATTTTTAAAAGTTAAGTTTACAAAAACTTGTTTTTATTTTAAAATTTTGGTCAAGAATTCAAATGTATGATGAAGAAAGCTGAAAAACATACCAACGAAATTGTGAGAAAACAAACATAATTTTTAAAAAGAGGAAATTAAAAACAGAATCGTTATCGGAGGGAGCTAATGATGTCCATATTTACAATTGGAATCGAACTAGACTTGCCTGAACTTTTGAGTGGGAATAAGGTTGGCAGAATCAGAGGATAAAGCAACTTTATGATCAACATTGTTTTGGCTTCCATGAAGCATATGAGGATTGGAAGGACAAACTTGCTTTCTCTTCAAAAGAGCAGCAACAAAAACCTGAACATGTATTTGTTTTTACAGTAATTAATTGGATTAGTATGAGAGAGAGAGAGAGAAAGAAAGAAGTTTGAATGAACTTTTTCAGGACAATATGACTCAGCAGACAGCACTAACTTTTATGTCTTTTCAATTCAAATATATATCCATTCAATCCATACATAGATGTCACTCCTTTTTAATCCAAACATAACAAACATCCCAAACAGTACTTTCCCAACAGTCTTCCCACTACAACCTTAAAAAAAAAAAAAAAATACTCTCAAATTTTCATTGAAAATCTATTTTAAAACCCTCAACTGGTTCTACTCTTACAATTCTTTTTTAACATCAAAGTGGCCTGTTTAGGCCTTTTTTTGGTATATAAATTTTATTTAGCAGGAATCTTACATATGATCAAATGGCGGTTTAAACTTCTGGGTCTTAAGAACACAACACAAAAAAATAGACGAGAAGATCTAAAAACATACTTTTACGTAAAATCAAAGACAAAGAACACAACGACACAAAAGTATAAGAGTTAAAATAGAACATCTGAAAGTATACAAAATGAAATTGGGTTTAGACTGAGATAATAACTACAAGAAAGCAAAAAAAACAAAAAAACAAAAGAAAGTAAGAAAAGAAAGCTTTGTGAAGGGTAATTTCTCTCCCAACTGTGCACAACACAACACAACACAAGGTAAAAATTGCAAAGAAAGAAGGTAAAAAGAGAAGAAAAACCACCTGAAGAATAGGGGTGAAAATGGGTCCTTGAGGAGGTTTATTCCTGTAGTAAAAAATCCCCCCAACCAAAGAGATCAATCCCATGGCCATAACAGCAGCTGAGACTCCAAATCCAACATCCATCCCAGAATGAGTTTGGATCCACACCACAAGAGTGAGGGCAATGAGCTCTCCCACAGAGAAGGCAAAATATGCAGCATTGAAATAAGTTGACAACTTTTTTGAGTGCTTTGGGTTATTTTGTGGGCTAAATTGGTCAGCCCCATGAGCTATCATGTTGGGTTTCACACACCCACTCCCTAAGGCCACCAAATACAGTGCCACAAAGAATATCAATGCCTTTAACCCTTTGGCTTCCTCACAATTCTCCCCATCTTCACTTAGCATATTGCATTGTGGTGGCTTTAGTTGGGGCAGATGAGCTTGAACTGACAGTAATATGAATCCCTGCCACAATAATTTCATTTCTTTCACTTTTAGCATTTCGGTTTTGCTCTCTCTCTCTCTTCAAAGTGGTAGAGAGAGAGAATGTTACAAGATAATGATTTATCATGTGATCTATGCATGCACATGCAAAAAACTTGTCTTTTCTTGAGGTTTTAGATGTATGTATGTATATGATAATCTCAACACTGAACTCAAGAGCTTAAACTGGTGGGTTACGAAAGTGAATATCAATATTTATAGATCTGTTGGTCTGAAAGCATGTTAAACCACGAAGTTAATATTTTTAACATTACAGTGGTTTGATCATAAGATCTCTAGCTAGATTCGATACATAATGTTTACTTATAAATCATATTATGTTTGAGAAAAACAGATGACTTGGGTCTCTTTGTGTTAAAAATAATACCTTTTTATCTCATACCGAAAAGAAAGTGGAGGTGATCATTCATTGAACTTGTTGATTATATATAAACATGAAATGAATGATAGATTGATGGGTGTATCTTTGTTGAATGATTTTTAAGAGACTGAGATTAGTGAAAAGAAGTGGATTTTGATCATAAAGAAAAATAAGAAATTATGGGGAAATGAAATGATGGGAACTTACAGAAAGTTCAACAAAGCCAAAGACGAGCATGGTCCAAAAACTGCCAAGATAAGAATCTGAAAGGAAACCACCAACAAGAGCCAAAAGGAACACTGTCCCAACAAAGTTTGTGACCACGTTTGCTGATTTTGACAGTGAAAAGTGCATCTCATTTATCGCATATGTTATCAGATTGTTCCCGACTGCAGCGATCGCCATTATCTCAAATGCTTGCAGTCCTGCACGATTTGAAAAATATTACATCATAAATATAGAGCAAGAATTTCGAGCATACGAACTCGCGAAAAAAGTAGAGATCAAGCAGCATTGGCCAAGTCCATTAGATTTATTATTTGCTCTCTCTCTCCAAGACCCATCTCATATTCTAAAAAGGAAACCTAAGTCTTTCCATTATTTTATTCATGTTTTGTTATTCATGCCTTATTTTATATTCTCTCAAGGCCAAAACCATTTACTTGGTAGAAAACCACTTTTCTCAAAAACATCACACATCCATCACACATCCATTGATGTCAAAGAGAAGTTTTCTTTTCAACTCATTGAAGCCTCACCGCTTCATTTTCATCAACGGTATGCGTTGCATTTAATAGATGAGTAATTCTCACTGAACCACTAAGAATAAGTCAAATCAAAAAATTAGCAAGAACTCCTCCTAACTCGTGTACAAGTATATTCCTCAACTCCAAACGAACTAGAAATCGAGAATGGAAACGAAAAACACGAGATGTAGAGAGAGAAATTTACCAAGAACAAAAGCAGCTGCTCTCATTCCACCATGGGAGAGGGGATTGGAGGGTCTTCCTCTCCAATCAACAGTGACATGATCACGATCTTCATCCCCTTTGAAATCCTTCCTTCTTTCCATTTCCATTTCCATTATTTTTCTTTCCCTTGAACCAAAACAGAGAATTAAAATGGAGGGAAATTTTGTTAATGAGAAATTACTAGAAGGGTAATATGACTATTTTTCTGCTGAAATGTGAGGCAGCTTCTTCTGGTTGGGCATTCCATTTATAAAGCCAAAATAAACTGCAAAGGCCCCCACCTCTCTCCACCCATCCCATTTTTCTTATTCTAAATTATTAGTATTATTGTTTTCTTTTATCAAATCAAAGGTCCCTTTTTTATTTTTTTTTTCCCATTTTAATTCTTTGGGCAAAATTTAAGATTCAATGGCAAAATTAATTCCATACCCACACGCACTACAAACATGTGGA